ATTGACGAGCGGTTTGATTGTTATTGTGAAATCAATATTCATCAAGCGTGGTTTTTGTTTGGATTGTGAATCGAATGTTTTCTCTAATAATAAAAGAAATTCCAATAACAATTGTGGATTGTCGCCTTGATTCGAGTGTACTAACGAGAGTAGAAGACTGAAACTCGTTGAAATTTGCCATTCATCGAAAACATATTGACGACATTCTTTCAATAATTCGGCAAAATCGAGTTGTATGTATCGATAAGGATGTCAACAGTGAACAGAGATCATCGATTGACCAGTTCAACGATGAACGCAAGCATCCATTTAATATGATTTCATCGATTTGAAAATGTTCATTCTCAATCATCGATTCAAATAGATGTTTCATAGTTGAACATGAAATCAATGGTGGCAGATCGACATCGGCCGATGCGGATAAATCGTTAACAAATGTTGTGACGAGTTTCGTGCCCGTTTGACGTACGTTTTCGTCCGCGTGATTCAAGAAATAGAGAAAAAAATCTTTCAAATCAGCTTGCGCTAATTCCTGACTCGGTGATGATGTTTTCAAATGTTGCGTGAAAAGTCGATGAATTGTTTGCAAGAATAAATTCCGTAGTATCACGTTCACATTATCGTCATTGTGTTGATCAACATATGCATATTGTAACAATTTTGACAAAGGTGATAGAAACGATGGCCTTGAATGAATTGTATTATTGTGATAGATAAATTCTTTACCGTCTGTCCATTTAACTTTGCAATCACTTCGAATCAATTTGAAATCACTGCCGTTGGAATTCGGTAAGTATTCAAATTGATTTAACATTTGATTTTTTACGGATGCTAGTTGTACTTGGGCTTGCGAATTGGTGACATCCATTATTTGAACATCAATGATCCGTTAACGTTGTACAGCAAACGATAACATCAAGGACAGGCATTGATTAGCATTCAAAAAGGATTGCAGAATAGATTGACAAGGCAATAGTTGATTTAATATATCTTGTAGAAGAGTTAATTCATCGGCATTTGTGCGTTGATTGTTTTTTGCTTTTCCAATGAGCCAAGCGTATTGATTAGCGATATCGATGGGATATTTGGCATTGTCACACAAAGTGTTGCATATTTGAGACCCTGACGCGAATGGAAACGGTTTTTCGGATCGAAAAATCAGCTTGTTAGCTTGTTCGTCGTGGGATTTTGACCAATCTGTTTTCCGAGCCATGTCTTCTTTGACCATTTATCGATAGTCAAGAAAGATGATTTCGGAGGATAAAGATTTGAACGTGAAATAATAACGGAGATTGAAAACCGATAATTTTCATTGTTGAATACGGTAGAATGTGATAGTAGTAGATGGAATAGCTGGAAAAAATGCAATGATAATGCGTTGTGCGTCGAATAAAATCGATAACATGGAATAACCAATGTATCGACAATCAATGAGACGAGCGATGCGTTGTCATCAGTTTCTCCACCATGCTGAACTTTATCCTTCAGATATTTGAATGATCTTATTTCCATTTCATTTTCAGTCGTCGATGGTGCTGTCGTCGTTGCCAGTGATGACAGGGAAAAATTACGAAGACGTTCAGGTGATTGTAGAACAGGTGATGGATTTGTATCGTTCAACCAGTGAACAAATGAAGAAGTAAGCTCTCGAACGAAGAAAGACACAGTAGCGGAACTACTGGTTGTCGTCGAGCTCATGGCATGTGCCATGCAAGAAATGTCAAACACTTAGCTATGGGAATATATCTTCTAAATTTATATCTAGAAAAATAAGACATGTATAGATATAACAGTAGATAGGTACGAATAGAAGCTGAATGAGTGCAATCAGTTCGCTGAGGAAATAATCGCTAATATACCATTGAAGCAGATCGCCTAGAACGAAAGAAATCAAGTAGTTATTTGATACCAGCGGTAACGTTTGAAGAAGTTGTCCAGGTAGCGGCTTCTCATGATAAAAAGCACTCATGCGATGCACATGGTTTATCCGCCTTCATGCTTTAATTTCTTCCACGAGAGTAACAATGTTAAAATACAACGTCACGAATCGATTCAGGGTGTGGGTGTGGATGTTTCTTCGGCATTTTGACGTTTCGTCGCTACTTTTCATTCCGAACATCCAATGTCGTAGTCCGTTCCGAATATCCGTTTTCTTCAAAAATCATCACTTTTAAAATAAAAATATCGGATGTTCGTAATTAGAAAAATACGGGTGTTCGAAACGATCATCGAAAAAAAACGGATGTTCAGAATGAAAATATAGGGATGTTCGGAACAGCCATAGACGGATGTTCGTAAAACTTTTACATGGGAGTGCGGAATAGAAAGGAGGGATGTTCGGAACGAAGATCTGCTTCTTCTATTAGTGCAGCACTTTAGTTCTAGTTAACCGATGTTCGGAACGCTCTTCCTTTCACAGCACAGTACTCAGTATGTCAGACACATAGTTACAGATGTGAAAGGGTGAACTGAATTACAAACTTCTATTCACTCTTATTCAAATGGCACAATGAAAGGAATGAAATTAAACCTAAATCAAACACTCAGTTGTGACAAGCGTAACGCTTGTTACTATATCCTATGTAAACAATGTGGGGAGGATTATATTGGAGAAACAGAAGCATTAGTTAGAGAAGGTTTCTTTGGACATACATCCCAAATCAACGGACCTCAACAGTGGGGTTACACTTTAGCCAGAAGAATCATTCCATTCGGGATGTTATGATTATACCGTTTGAGATAGGTTATCTTAATGAGCATCATCGAAAAGCACGGGAATCATACTGGATAAAGAAAGTAAACTCTACTCTGAATATCAAAAGTTAAGATAACTTAGTGATAAAAATAATTTGTAGAGGCTGTAATTTAAAAATATTTACATTCTCAGGTTGCTTATCTCGTTTCATTTAACCACTGAGAAAAAAATACTGTAGTTTTTCTCTTATAATTAGTAAAACTTGGTAATATTTACCATAAGAGTTAGTGTATTATAGAACTTAAATTTGAAAGATACCATTCCTATAGGGCGAGAGCAAATATATTGTAAAAAAAGATATTTTTAAATCTGAATTATCTCAATAATTGCTGTCATTATGGTGATAAATCTATCATCAGAACGGACCGTTTTGAATCCGTTTCTATCACAGCACTCATGATCCGTTTTTGGTTATAACCGATTATACACACACACACACATCTTCGTTACCAGCTGACGATTCCCCTAACCGGGATGAAATCGCGATAGTGGTAGTTATTGATTATACGCACTCCACACCCTCAACATGCTTGTTCACTTTCTAGTGTAGTGCTCGGTCTTAGTCTTAGAGCTCTTTTCTCCCACTCTATCAAAAGTTGCTGAGTATGCCTAATTTTAACCGCGGTTTCGATTAAAAAGAAAAAGAATTGTTGTTTTTTGTACCACTTCTTCCACTTTTTTAAAAGCAATTTGTTCTTCTGCTATACATTATAGAAAACTCTTTCAGATTTCTTCATCGATTTCTGTACTTGTGATATTCTAATCGGACGTATGAGTTCGCTTTATCTTGCGTAAGTTTGTTGGAGTCTAAGCATCGTCTATGTGGTGAGTCATAAAAGATGGATGTTCGTCAAAGAAACTACCGGGTATTCGGAACGCAAACATAGGGATGTTCAGAACAAAACAACTAGTGTTGAAAACGAACTTAGATATAAAGCTGTAGAGAAAGAATTGGCTTCATTCATGAAGTCTGACATTCTTGATTCTGTAGATGGCGTTTGGTAATCATGATCGAAAGAAAAAGACCCATTCTCTTTGAATAGGTCTCATAATCTCGAAAGAAAATCCACAGTTCTACTTTTTTTTAAAGCTCGCCTACTATCTACGTTTGTTCAGTTGTTTATGTTGTATGGCTTTTTCGAAAAAATTGTAGCTTTCTATCCGCTGAGTTATTTCAACTTTAAAAAGATTAAATTTTTTAAATTTTAAGTTTACTTTAAAAATGAAGGGAAGGAGCTTTTCAAAATTTCTTTTTCCAAAATGATCCTTAAGGTGTTCTAAATACGATTATTTTGTTGAAACGATTATATCCTTGCAGGATTTCTCTATAATAAAATTTATTTGTAATCACGTGGCAGAAATTCTTCAGCTTTCTGTAAACCTTACCTGCGCTAGAGATATAATTTTTCTGATACGTTCTTTAAAAAGAGCGCAGTTTTATAGTTTTACAGTTTTTTCCATTACAGTTAACCGTCACTGTTGCATACCTACCTGAGATAACTTCCGAAATAATAAGGATAACAATCGTCATCATCCTGTTCGATAGTTTCTATATGTTATTCTCAAAATCCGTCGTATTTAGTAAAATATACTTGGTTGAAATATTGATTTTTGTATTTTTGGTACCTCAGTCACTGTGAAATAATCGATACCAGTTAAGTGAACTTATTTCCCTTCTAATAAGAAGCACTGCCTCTATTGTCTTTCAGATCTACCTCTCCATGTCTTTGTCAGTTTTTGAAGTTTTCTGCTAATTAAACATGCTAGTTCTGTATTCTTTTCCCAATGCTAACTGAGAAGAGAAACTTCTTAGTGACATTCCAGTATGGAATCAATTGAATCAGATAATGAAATGAAAACATTTACTCATGCTTTAACATCAGACAACCCTAGTAGCTTGGTCATTCTTATTGGTAGAAACGAGATTTCTTATTTATCTCCAAACCTTGACTTGTTTTGGAATAAGAAAGGCGAAGATGGGGCTGTTGCTATTGCACGTGGGTTGGAAATGCACAATGCGTTGACTGATTTGAATTTGCATGGGAACAGTATTTCTAAGAAGAGAGCCGAAACCGTACCGAAAATGCTCTCTTCAAACGTGACACTAACGAAAGTCTCTTGGGAATGATGTGGGTGATGAGTCATTTCTATTGAAAAGAAAGAATGATACTCTGACAGGATTGTAGGTAAATTAAGGAGTGAATGTCTATTTCAAGGTGCTGCAAAGAGAAGATAGAAAAGTTAAAATACGGGAATGTGTAGTTTCTGATTAAAAATTTTTGTAGAGATCGGCGGGCTCTATACATACACACGGAATATTTTGATTTCATCAGATGGTTATCGAGATATTCAAAAAATAAGGAGTGTGACTGACTTACAGAAAATAGAACTGTTTTTCATCCATGTCGAAATCTGTCGAATGAGACGCTGTAAAAGCAATTTTTTACAACGTCTCATTCGACATAAAATTAAATAATAATTCGATTAAAAGCAAATTTTTCCTAAATCCTAAACTCGTATTTGTGCACGTGTCTATTTTTATGTACGTGTTTATTGACAATATCAAGTTTAGTACTTATGAAGAGAAGCATTTTCTATGGTATAATCTGCTTTATTTTGAGTTTCAGATTAAAATCTTTTTATATTGTCTGCTTCTCGGACAATTGCAAACTTAAGATCCATATTTAAGAATTCTCCTTTCTTTTACAGTGAAGTACAGACGCATGTAACTGTGTACACTAAGCGTACAACCACGTTGTTGTTCTGTGCTTTAATGTATCATACTTCGTCAGATCGTAAGAATATTCTTATCAATCAAAAGGAAAAGATGCAAAATCAAAATTCATCAGCATGAAGCTCACTTGGTTTAGTTTCTAAACTTACCAGTATCATAACAAATATTTTGAATAATCTGAATTTATAAAATCCATAGCCGCTCAAGTCAAAGAGCATCTAACACAAATTCGAGAAACAGTTGCAAAGCATACTGAAGAAATAACTAGGTTACAATTGAAATCTAATGGTATTGAACAATACGATCGAAGGCTAAATATACTTGTACATGGAATACCTGAGAAAGATGGTGAAATAACAAATGATTTAATTGTTGATATGTGCGATTCCATTCAAGTTCATATTAAACCAATAGATATTAGCGCTTCTCATCGATTAGGAAAGAAATGTATTGGTAAGAATCGACCAATAATTTGTCGTTTGTTACGCTATGACATGAGAAAAGAATTATTTTCTAATAAAAAGAAATTAAAGAAAACTGAAAATTATAAACGAGTTAATATTATTCAAGATTATTGTTGAAGAGTTAATATTGTCGTAAGAACATATGAAAAAATTTATTGAACGTAATAGTAAGAGCCAGTCACATGACTATTTATGGATCATAGCCAAAGTCGAGTTCGTTTTAACAGCACCTTGCCGTATGTTTGAGTCAGTTACATATAATGAAACATCATCAGCGAATACTTTACACGTGCATCGAAGAGCACTTGGCAGGTCATCAATGTACAATAAAAAAAAAGCGGTCCTAATATGAAACCTTGTGGTACTCCACAGGTAACCACAGTTAAATTAGATCCAAAGCCATCAATAACTGTCATAATTTGTCGCTCTGAGAAATAACTACAAAACCAACTTATAAGAGTTACTAGTAAACCTTTACTGCGTAGTTGCAACAGAAGTCCTTGGTGGCTTATCTTGTCAAAAGCTTTGGAAAATCAATAAATGTAGCCATGGTCGGTTCAGCTTTGGTAAAGCCCTTGGCAATACGATGAACTATTTCAACCAGCTGAGCAGTTGTGGAATGCCGAGATAAAAAACCAGACTGGTTTTCACTAATTAGTTTATGTGAGAGCAAGAATTTTAAAATTCTATTGAAGACGAGATGCTCAAATACTTTGGATATAGCGGACAACAGAGTGATTGGACGACAATTATTAACTAAGTGGATATTCCCAGCCTTGTGTAATGAGTTTATAATATCAATTTTCCAAGATGAAGGAAAAATCTCAGAAGATAAAGCTTGTTGAACAGTAGTGTAAGAGAACAAGCTATCACTGGTGCAGCTTCACGTAACATTCTACCGGTAATTCCTGGAGCTGCTACTTTTCTAGAATTGATTTGCATTTTAGCCAAAGTCGATCCCACTACCAAGTCACCTATTTGGCTTCTGAAATTTAATTTACTTGAAAATCGCATGCAAATAGTTAAATCTATGGCTGTTGCAATAATTGAGACATGCTTAAAATCTAAGTGTGACATTTCGAATCTTATGGTTAACGGGTATCAAGTATTCAGGAAAGACCGTATGAATAAAACATGTGGGAAGTTACTTTTATATGTCAGGAATGATATTATCGTCAAAAGATTCTTAGATTACGAGAAAATAAATTTTGAAACATTATATGTGACTCTTCGTATGCCTAACGGTAAAACTTGTATTTTAGGTTTAGTTTGACCCGACTGGGTTGACTGTTTGGAGTCTGTTTGGAACTAGCAAAGAGTGAAGCTTTTTGCTGCTAAATGTCCGTAAGAGGAAGTATAATTTAAATCTGCTTTTTGCCACAAATAATATTTGGATGTGAAAATACATTTATGTGCATTATTTTTACGTCAATACACTTTTTTGTATTGATCCGTATTTTGTTTAAAGTTTCTGATAGTTGATTAGTAGACTCCAAACAGTCAACCCAGTCAGGTCAAACTAAACCTAAAATACAAGTTTTACCGTTAGGCATACGAAGAGTCACATATAATGTTTCAAAATTTATTTTCT